TTCTTCCCTTTTCTTCGGCACTGGTGAGGCCACATCTGGAGTACTGTGACCAGTTTTGAGCCCGTCACAACAGAAAGGATGGGGAAAAATTGGAGAGAGTCCAGAAGAATGCAATGAAAATGGTTAGGGGGATGGAATCCATGACTTCTGAGGAGAAGCTGAAGAAACTGGGCTTATTTAGTCTGGAAATAAGAAGACTGAGTAGGATTTGATAACATTCTTTAACCACTTGAAGGGTTGTTTAAAGACAATGGAAAAAGACTATTCTAAGTGGTGGCAGATGACAGAAAAAGGAGCAACGGTCTCAAGTTGCAGTAAGGGAAATTTAGGTTAAATATTAGTAAGAACTTTCTCACTAGGAGGGTAGTAAAGTACTGGGGCAGGTTACCCAGAGAGATGGTGGAATCTCCATCCTTGAAGGTTTTTATGACCTAGCTAGACAAAGCCTTGGCTGGGATGATATAGTTGAGACTGGTCCTGCTTTAAGCAGGAGGCTGGACTAGATGACCTCCTGAGGTCCTTTGCAACCCCAATTTTTATAATTCTATATGATTCAAATCAGAATCTTAGATCAAATATTAGATTCTTCAAACAGCCAATGTCTATCTGATACATCCCTTTCAAAAGTGTAATTGGCTCAGAAGTTCTGTAACCTTTCCTGGAGCCCCACCGGGTGATCTGTAGTTTCATTTCCTGTAATGCATTTATATAATCTAATGGCCTGCATGATTTCATGACTTTGGACATACAAATCCCACTGGACATATACTTCTGTGCCTATAGTTGCATGAGTTGAGAGTAATTTTAATAGATGAAGCACTACTGTTCTTAGCAATAAAATAGCAGAATCCTGAGAAATCTATGAAAGGAGAAAGTGATGGTTAGTATCTGATGATCACAGTAAGGCACAGAGAAGTAAGAAATAGAACAATGATCAAAATGAGTTACATTTTGACACTGCAATGTCAGCAGGCTCTAATGAAATAAAATGGGTGGGAAAGAATATAAACCTTCTTCTCTGGGAAAGTTGCTCTTCAGTGCAAGATGGCTATACTTTCTGTTATTAGATGCCTAAGTAGTAGGGCCATGCAAAGCTTCAGCCCGTGATTCGATTTGGCAGAGATTCGGCCCGATTTAGTGGCTGAATCTCTGAATCTGAATCGATTCAGGAGACCCTTTAATCTCTCCAAATCAAATTGGAAACTTCTGAATTGATTTGGAGAGATTCAGAAAGATTCAGAGATTTGGACATAGAGACAGCTTTAAATGTTTTTGTTTTTTTTACATACCTCTAGGTAGCAGGGGCTCATGAATGCTGTGATGCTGGGGGACATAGAGTGTCCCACAAAAGCATGGGGGGCTTCCCCTGCACACTCAGCAGCAGACCCGGAAGTGAACAAGAAGCACTTCCGGTCCACTTCTGGGTCCTACCAAACAGTGCGCTGGGCCCCCCCCTGCATCCCTCCGCCTTGGCGACTGGTGCCTCCTGGGTCTGGGGGAGCACCCAGGGTCCCCTTGCAGCCAATTACTGAGCTAGGGGGAAGCACCAGGGGCCCCCAACACGTTCACCAGCAGACCCGGAAGTGGACTAGAAGTACTTCCGGTCCACTTCTGGGATCACTGCCGAGTACATGGAGGGTCCCTCCACACTCCTGTGGGATGCTCCATCTGCCCCAGCACTGCAGCAATTACGAGCCATATCTGGTACCCCGAGGTATGTAGAAATAACTTTTAAAGCTGTGCCTGTGTCTGAATCACTGATTCTCTGAATCAGCATCGAATCTTCAGATTTGGATTTGACTGAATCAAATCAGGAACAGTGATCTTAATCAATTAATTGAATCACTGTCTCTGATTCAGCCCAAATCTGAATCCAAATCAAATAGGGTCCACTTTGAACACCCCTATGTAGCTAAGACAGATAACTTAGCTCCCTAAGTTGATATAGTGCTAGATTCTCCATCTGCTATACTACTTTGTTGCTGAAACAACTCCATTCAAGTCTCTGGCGTTTCAGTGGTAAGAAGCTGGTAGAGCATAGTGGAAGAAGGATATCCTCAATCTCAAAACAGCAATATGAATTGAATTAAAACACATATTCCTTACCAAGTCTTTATTCCAAACTCTAGCATTGATTTCAGAAAAAATGGAAGCTTTGCTTGCTTTCTGACTGCAAGAAATGGGCCAGTGTGAACCTATTAGTAAAGAATCTTGATACCTTCATAATTCCTCTAAGAACATATTCTTTTGAAAAGGTTGAATAATGGAGAAATGAACAATCTTTCTGTCATGCCTGAGTTATAAATGCACTTGATCTTTCAGTGGAGTGATGTGCAGATGACCTATAACATTCAGATAATAATTATCCTTGCTCATATGCTTTGCACTTTTGATTTAAAAATTCTAATTAAAACTCAACAACAGCAACTAAATCATATACATTTGGCAACCACTGTTGCAAACAAGCAGCTTATTTGTTTTATTTACTCAAAAATACAAACTAAAGAGTATGGTAACAAATAATTTCTTTGACCTCATCTGATCATATTTATTAATTACAACTCAATTTTCTAAAATACTGAGCAACCACAAATGCTGTTTGAATCCATAAGATCTGCAGATCATTAATGACAGTTAAAATTTACCTATAACTCTCCAGAAGAACTCAACACACTAGGTGCACACAGTATAAGATAAAAAATGGAAGACACAACAAAAAAGAAAATTCTTAAATAGAACATATTAAGAACTGCCTTAGCACTAGTCCTTTTTTGGGAATTAATCACAGAATGTGAATAATGGGCCTTCAGTTTTGTCTCAGTTATTATATCTACCTTCCCAGTTATTAATTAATCATTTAGAATGCCTCTTGCTAAACAAAAACATTACACTGTGTTTCTGAACAGGAACTTAAAAAAAATTATTCTTGGAGTCACTGGACACTGTATATATAGAAGGGTCCAAGCCTCTTTTAAAACTGAAACTTACATTGAAAAATCAGTAAGAATCCCATCCTGTAAATTATGCTAATTATTGTATAGATGCACATCATAAAATCAATCTCTGGCATTTCTTCAATAAAACCTTTATATTGGAAACAGCATAAAATCTGGTTATAACATTTTTAGATCTATTTTCCAGACTAACTGTTCTTATCCTGAAGACCAGGCACAAAACCTGTATTCAGTGGTTGTTCACTGGGAACTGTGTTTGTAGATCAAAGGCATACATTATGTCCCTTAAAGATTACTATTCTCCCTTTTCAGCACAGCTATAAAATAAATATTACTTTAGGTAACTTCGTAAGAACTATTTGGGGTTAGTGTTGTTATTATAAAATATTTCATTTTTAAAATGGAATGATTTAGTTGACTTTTTCTGTCTTTTTTCTGGCCTCCAGAATTAAAGAAAAGGCATGGGCTGGCAAAGTTTGTCTTGTGTAACTAGCCTGTGAAGTACAATACTTAATCCGTATGTGCTAGAGGTGACTATCCCTAAATACATACAGTTAATGAAAATGAATAGCATTCTCAAGGACCTTGTGTTCATGTTGACATTTCCCTGACAAAATCAGAATTATAATTGTTCACTTAGTGCTAATGTCTGGACAGAACTTGATTTTGCCTGTAGTTGTCCATTCAATCAGAAAAGACCCTAAAAATAAGAAAAATAAGATACATAAAAAGATGGGGAGAGGAGAAAAAAGAAGGAAACATTCGAGGCCTGTGAAGGAAGAAAACGAAGGAAACATACGAGCACAACTCCCCAACAAGTGATGCTGCCAGAGGTTATAATACAGATCAAGAAGCAAAACTAAATGGAGTAGCATCAAGTAATAGTCTTGCGGGGGGCAGACATCAGCTGGCAAATATTTTTTAGGTAATAGGCAGATTTAAGGCTTATCTCAACTTCGGCAGCAGTATATACTAGCAAGCATGCTATAGACCTGGAAAGTGACCAAGGAGGTTTCTCTTGGTTTGCCCCCACAAGGCTTTGCTCTCTAAAGGACCTAAGATTGGCATCAGGGGATGAGCCCAGAGCAGCCTCACTGGCTAACTTTCAGATCTGGAGTGCATCAGCAGGTACCAGTGGGTTGGGCATACTCAGCTCCACACTCATTGGGATCAGCTGTTGCAGCAATACAGACAAGCTCTTGGGGCCCAGCAACACAATCCTCATTCCTACTGGTGAGTACAATCTTGCATAACCAGTTTCATGTGCAACTACTTGTGTAAGTAATCAGCACTGCAAGCAGCTTAAAAAAGGTTCATAGATTAGAAGCTGAAGCTGCAGACAGGGCAATTGAAAGAACTGGGTTGAAATGGGCAAGAAGGAGGAAATAAAGCTGAGGAAACTGGCTCATCCAACTGGCTTTCCTTGTGGAGGACCAGATGGCAAACTTTGGTTCTCTGATGAGAAATGGTCTTCTTTTAAACAACAGTTGAACAACTTATTGCTGCAAATCAGCAAGTTCTCTCTTCAGCTAGTGCCAAAAATATCTTTCAGAAATCTACAGGGCTTGAAGGCTGATTGGCAAACTCATGGTTGGATTGAAGCATCTACATTTCTGCCAAATCTTTCAGCACTACTCTGAGATTTATTTTTGGAAATCTTTTCCTGCAGCTGGGTTAAATAATCATTTATTACAGTACACTTGGATAAAGCATGCTATGTGAATGCATTCCTAATCTATGTCTTGTAAATATTAGTGTGTAAGGTCTTCCAAGGTCTACTATGTAAACCAAAGATTCATTCAACATAAGAAGCCACCTACATCTTCAGAATAGAGACTTAGCCCCAATTCCAATGTTAGAATTTCAATGCAACTACATTTCTTTTGTAAGCAATATCACTGTCAATGCAATGCTTTACACAAAATCCCACAGGAAATATCATTCTGATTAGTTACCAAATTTTCACTGAATACATTTCATAACGTACATAAAGTTTCATTTAGGATTTGAATTTAAATAGATGTGAATAATCACAGCATTAGTTACTTGCTGAAGTTTCCAGTTTGCGTTTATGAGGTGGATCTTCAATAATTCTATTAATATCGCCACGATTCTTTAGATCCACTGGTTTCTCCCATACTGACAGCTGCATTGTAGGGTTGAAGAAGAAGACTCGGTCATCTCCAGTCCAGACTACACACCTATTTTAATTAACAAACTATACTTAGATAATCTTACATACATTAGAGGCAAGATATTAAACTCATAGTGAACTCAGTATTTCCATAGTTTTTACTCTGCAAAGTAGAATGCACCTGAGGCTGACAAGGCTTCTGGACACAGGTCATTTCTCCTCAAAAAACAAAAATGTATTTAACAGTGGTCAGAACAGACCAAACAGATAAGTAATAGTTCCAACAAAAGGAATAAAGCAAGAATGAAAACTGGGATGCTAGCAACAACTGAAACAGTGGTAAGGATTTATATTGCACATTTTGAAGATGCATCTGTGCAGGTGGTGAGCTGCAGAATTTGAGAGTTATTTTACATAGCCAGTGACTACTCAAAACCCTGCTACAATAGGAGCCTTTTGGTAAAAGATAGTCACAGAAACTTCCAGGGGCTGTCTCTGAGGTAGAAGGCCTAGCCAAGATATAATTTGGTTTCCCCAGTCTTGGATCACAGCCATACTCTAGTGGGTTCCATGCTACAGAGAAAATAATGGTTTAATATAAAGTCAATTTAATCAGATTTGAATCATATATGTAACGTAACCAAATTGTGACTGCTACAAAAACAGAATTCCTTGTATATTTAAAATGTTAAAGTTGGCATGACATCATCTTTATTTCTTGTATAACTTTTAAAAAACAGAAAAATATTCTTTTAAAAATAATTCTATTTTAATGATATATTATCAGACAAACTAAGTTGCACTTAATAAAATATATGTTTAAATAGAAATCTAGTACATGCACTGATTCTGCACTTTGTCTCAGTTTAAGAACATTCCATACAACACATATGCACTATTATTTTAAAACACACCAAAAGGTCAGATTTGGGTTTTCTAGAAGCAGAACATTTTTATTAATGCAACCTCTACGGTACTTGAAAGCTCATAATGGCAAGAGGGAACACAATTGGGAAAAAAGACATGCTTTAAAATAAATCTATTCGGTATAAAAGGGTTAGAGTGTGAAAAATGCTATACCAATGAAAAGCATGATAGTCAGATAATTTGAAGTTTGTAGCAAAATAGCATCACTGATCCCTGCCCATCCTTCTAATAGAAAATATACGATCTCTGGAATAGCCCAAAGGCAGATTGTATATCTTTATAGTGCCAGGAACAGTTCTGTGCAAGATATAAGTAATTAAGCAAATAGTACATGTTAAGCATGTAAATCATGTGCAGTTAATGCAGGCACTCCCAAGGTGGAAGTCAGAGATGGGATCTGTGGAAAAACTCAGCTTATTTTCAATTAGAGTCATCCCTAATATAAGTCTCTTGTAGCCTCTGAGCTAAACTTTCACGTTATTGTGACATACAACTGCTTTAGGGCAGAAAATAGCTTCTCAGAAAGCCATCCTGTGAGGTAATGATTAAAAAAAGAAAACCTTACTTTGTCCCAATTCTCAGGTCTATCAGACACAAAGAGTACATCTACACATAAAATTAAGGCAACACAATGAACTCTGGAGCAATTTGAGCTTGAATCAACTGCTCATGGGCACAGCATCTACATGTGTGCCCAGGACATGCACCCAGCAGTAATTTGACCTGGGGTGGAGCAAGCCCCTGGCTGGCTGGGTTAACCAGGTGCAATGTATGTTCATGGTCAGCATTTACACATGCATTTCAGTGCAGTAAAGTACTCCTCAGGAAGACTGTACTGTCCCTAACTGTCAGGGACAGAACTATCTTACCATGGAGTTAATTACTGCATCCTAATACTGGTGCATGTGTACACTGTGATGTTTTACTGAGGAGCTAAGGAGTTTACTCTATAACAGAGAGCACATGTAGATGCACCCAAACTGTTAAAAAATAAGTAAATGTACCGTTAACCATAACTCACTGGGACAAAACAAATTAGGACAAAGTTAATGGAACATTTAAAAAACAAGGAGCTAAACTAGCAAAAATATTACAAGCATGTTAAGAGTCCATTATTAGAGTGAAAAGAGGGTATCAGCATTTTACTGATTAATTTTAAAGGGTTAACGTTTTCTCCATAGCTAAATTTTTGGATTATAGTATGATAATGGACCCAAACCTGTGTGGTGCTGAATGCCTTCAGCAAAATGCTAATAACCCTCAACTGTAAACGGTTTTAAATGGCAAGGCAGCACAATTAGCATTTAATAGAATTTGACCCAACAGGAGTACTACATGGACTACGTGATAAAGTTTATGGCAGGATGCCAATTTACTATTACTGTCACCATTATACAACCATACACTGGACTATCTAAATTAATATTTGGTGGAACATCTGACTAGCTTTTGAACATGCATATTCTTTGTTTCTTCTGATGGCTAATCAAAAATTAGCCCCTCTGGCCAAGAGGGAAGAACAAGACTGTTTTCAGAAAGATTTTGATGTAGCTATTTAATAGTGAACATTTCAACATATTATCACTCTCACCTAGTCTCCAGTCTATGATATACAGTTTCTGTCATGATGGGTGGTTTGATACCACATCTGAGGGAGAAAATGTATTAGTTATTTGAAGTTTTCCTGCTAGACCACCTGGAGCCCAGGCACTTATCTAATAAAAACAAGGTGATTGCTAAAATAGAAATGGCACATTTCCACCTCTGATTAGAAGACCAAGCAAATACCTCTAGAGGGATGTTAAAATGGATCCAAATGGCAGCTCCCTCATGCTGTCTTTTCATTTTTCCATAACTAATCCAATTTGACATTTAATTTAAAATTACTATCCCTTCCCCCACATCGTGTCATCTGTCTCCCTTTGGCATAATAAAAGTTTCAGTTACCCAAAGGGGGAAATACGGTATTTTTTTTCAGTCACAGTGATCAAATTGAAAATGCAAATGATGCCAGGTTTTCTAGTTAGAATGTCTCCTGTGATTAAAACAATGAAAAGTAGGTAGAATGACCTTAAATAGTTTACTTATATAGGAGTTAGGCTAACAAATATTTATGATTATTAATTATTTTTGTCTTTAAAATATATGAATTAATTTTATAACACATACTCATGAGCTTGATGCCAGGAAGCACTAATAAGATCTGAAATTGTTAAAATCACTAATTCATTCTGCTTAAGAATTAATGTCCTGGTCTTCTTGGTATGTGATTTTCCCTGATCAATGGAGAACAATTAGATGCTCAAATTGCCTGAGGTAGGTAAATGCCTTTGGCTAAGTAGGAATCTTCCAAAAGCCTAAGGCAGAACCGCTGTATGGTGCTTTACTCAAAGCTCTCCAAGTTAGAGTGGGAGTGATCTAAAGAGATATTCAGCATTAGGTGGGCAGAGCAACTTGGAGCCTGCCTGCACTGCCCAAGGCCAGCAAGTAGGGGTGCTCTTGCGCACTTCCCAGCATGCCCCATGGCCTCCCTTGGCTGCTGAAGACTCCTGACCAAAGCTGATCTTACAAATTACCCCTGATTGGTTGCTGGGCATGGGCCACCATACCCTCAACCACCTGTTGCATCACTGCGGACCCTCCCCCACACCCCTCTCCATCATGACTTGCACGTCTTTGCATCCCATTTTGCCCTCACCCTGCCATGGAATCTCATCACCCACACCCAAGCAGGGAGACTCAGAAGCTGTGGCGGGTCTTGCTGGTCAGCTTGCTTGACTCACCAGAGGCTACGGACATCACGTATGCCCACCTGGACCTGATGAGGCAGCAGCTCATCGTGGCATGTGCCCTCAAGCACACAAGCCACCAGCTGGCTGTCCCATCCATGCCCACCTCCATCAGTTACTGCCTTGCCAACCAGTTCGAAATGGACAGCACCACAGCTGGAGAGGCCATCCAGGAGGTGTGCCTGGTCATCCAGGGTGTCTTGAACAACCGCTTCATCCACCTTGTCTGAAGATGAGATGCAGGTACTGCAGAAGGTGGTTACCATCTTCTGCTGCACGGGCTTCTGCAACTGCATGGTGGCAAGGACAGAACTTATATCTCAGGTCCTGGCTCTGGTGCGAGATGCATGGGTGAAAGCCTGCTGTGCCCCCATGAGCCTAGGGACCCCCGATGAGCCCCAGCCTGCCTGCAGGTAAGCAGAGGCCCGTGGTGGGAGGGACATAGCCAGCAGGGAGGTAGCTGAGTGCAGCCAAGGAGGGTCACACCCCACCTCAGCTCCTTGTTGGCCCAATCCCCCCAGGGAGCTGCATAACTGGGCTGCTAGCACATGGGACAGGTTTGGGGGCACTTACCTGTCCCCTCCTTCAGTGGGGGGAAGGTACCCCCTTAGCCCTCCGATAGCAGTGTGGCACCAGCCAGCCCTTCTGCACATCCGTGTAGTTTAAAAAGGGCCCGGCAATGGCAGAAGCCATACTCAGGTCCTGTCTCCAGTGCGAGATGTGCGGGTGAAAGCCTGCTGAGGCTCTGTGAGCCCAGGGAACCCCCAGGAGAGACCCCAGGACCCCTGATGAGTCCCGGCCTGCCTGCAGGTAAGCAGGGGCTCATGGTGGGAGGGCCATAGCCAGCAAGGAGGCAGCTGAGTGGAGCTGAGGAGGGTCATGCCCCAGCTCCTACTTTGTCCATCCCCCCAGAGAGCTGCACAACCAGAGCCATGCAAACAGGTCACGCAAACAGGCCATGCAAACAGGCATGCTTCTGGGCCCAGTGCATGAGTTAGCATGGGAGTTTGTGCAGGAGGGTGAGCGGGAGGGCCCACGGCCCTGCCAGTGAGCCCCCTCAGGTAGGCAGTACCATAAGTAGCTGGCCTACCAGTGACATGATGTGGATGGGCACATGCTGCACCCCAAGGGTCCCCTTGGAGTCTGCGGCCTCCCCCTCTGGCACCTCAGAGGCCTCCACCTGGACAGAATCCATGGTTCCTGGCTCCATGCAGATGGAGCCTCTGGCTGCCTGGCACATTTCCAGGCTCTTGGGACCAGGAGCAGGGCCACCTTCCCTTGTGAGGTTTGCTCCACTTTGGAGTCTCTGGAGCGCCAGATATACGAGCTACAGGCTGCAGTCCAAAGACTG